TCACCTTCTTACTCCATCCATGCAAACCAAACACACAGGAGTTGCTGCTGCAGCTCTTGCCTGTTGGATGCGAGGGGAAAGGTGCTGGAAAAGGCAGTTTTACAGAACTCATGGCCATGCTGTGAGCTGCACAAGTCCCTGCACCCCCGCTTGGTGCTGCCGCAGCCCCCGGTGCGCAGGGCCGGTCCCGCTAGAGGGCAGCGGCTCCCCGGGCTCGGCCCTGCGCATCCCCGCTTGCTTCGGTACTCCCTGCTTTTTTTGGGAAGGCAGCATTACAAACCCCCTTGGGAGAGGAAGCAAAGCGGGTGGAAGATGATGTATTCGGAAGCGCCTTGGCTTCAGAGCAGGCCGATCTCCCGTTGTCTCAATTCTTAATATTTTTTGTAATGCCAGATTGGATTTGTACTGTTTTTGCATCTCTCGCAGCTCAGCCACAAGCCTTAGGAACTCAGCAAAGGCGACTGCATGGACAGAGCCTTCCTGCTTAATATTAACAAACAAGCTTAGTCCTCTCTTGCTCTTGATGCAGGCAATAACAAGACCACATCTTCCTGGGCATGATTCAGAGTGGGAAGCTAATATGCTCTGAATGGCTCCCCAGGGACTTTTCTGCCATGCAGAGAGCCTGATTTCCTGCCCTAGGCAGTGGGGAGACGCAACATAAGCATCTCCCTCGCATGCTGTCACGGTTGGTATCAGCCCAGCTGTCCGTGAGTAACTGCTGAGCGTGCCAGAAGGCATCCACCTCCTATCAGAGCCCGCGTCCCCATCGTCCGGGGAAGCGGCACAGCCAAAAAAGCCACTGCACTTGCGTTATCGCTGCATGCAAAGGGCAGCATGCTGCAACAGCAGTGAGGAAATCAGCATCACAGTGCATGGAGACTCTCACCAAACACTTCTTCTTGGAGCTACCAGGTTAAAATCCCCCCCCCCACACTCCCTCATAGCCGTTCCTTTACTCACCGGTGGTCCCAGGCATCTGGCTCGCTTCACCAAGGCAGAGCTGATGCTTCCTAAGACCACCACCTATGATACTGTAGGAGTATTTACAGGGAAGTCAAAGCATTTTAACAAAAGCATCTCCCCATCCCAAAAGGGATGTAGACCCATTTTAGGGAAGCACCCGGCCACACTCACCCAGCAGCAGGGCACAGCGATGGGCTGCAGGATCCACAGCCGATGGAGGGGGTTGTGGGGGTGCTCCAGCTCCTCGCCAAACAAAAGGCACCTGCTAATGGAAATGCACACACACAACCCAAAATCACCCCTTTACACAGCACCTGTGTTACAGCCTTGTGCGGAAGGGATGGGCATAGAAGGAACAGAGACCAGGCCAGGCCCTAGCCCAGATCAGGAGACCAAAAACTTAGTGAAGGGCTACTGCCATTTCCACTGAGGAAAATTTTGTATCCTTAATCTTAGGGAAGCATAAACTACACATTTCATAGCTCAGCAACGCAGGACAGGAAGAACGTGATGAGCAAGGCACCCTTTGCAAGCTCTGCTCGGACCTTTGCCAAGTTTTGTGGTGTCCGGATAAGTTTCATTCCAGGGGACTGCTGGCTTCAGCACGCTTAGAAAACAGCACAGGAGGACGCGCACGTCCCCCAGGGTCCACTCAGGCTTGTAAAACACAGCTGGATGGATCCCTGCCCTCACAGCTTTATGCCTGCATAGGAAGCATCCCAATGTCCAAAGACAAAATTCCAACGGGTACGGGTGGAGGGAAGAAGGCAGAGTGCCAGCTTGGGATTCCTCAGCACTGAAACCCTCGCTGTAACACAAGCAATGCCCAAGTGCCTGCTCCCACAGCGGATCACAACAGACAGCAATTGCAACCATCAGCAAACTGACTTCAAGCTCACTAGGTTAATGGGAACTGAAATCTTATTTTACCTGATCCAAGGCAAGGAGTCCATCAGCAATCATCGCAGCAGCACTTCTTTTTTGAGGGCAAGGTACCAGTTACCACATCCAAGAAATCACCATCTGCCAGAGTGCAACCAAGGGACTGATACCTCTGGTTAGCGATATCCAGAGACAACTGCTTTTCTAATCCTTCAGCAAAAGGGAAAAGAAACAGTGACCAGAACCAAAGAAATCAGGCAGACCTAAATGGTAAATGCAAAACCATTTCCCAAAGGAAGCCATGGCCTTTTCTTCTTCTGAGATCCTTGTATTTTTTCCAGACTCTCCCCACCCCTGAGCATCCACCCTCAACCATAACCCAGGAAAACCAGAGACAGACAGACAGACAGACATGGGGCCCAACACAGAAACCACTCATGAAGCTGGGCTGTAAATGTGGTGGTCCACAGACACACTGAAGCCACCATCACTTTTAGGACAGCTGCCCCACTGTCTCTGAGCTGCTTTTCCTTCAAGTCCTTGGAAGAGGAACTGGGATGCAAAGGAAAAGGCTTTACAGTTCTGTAAAGAAGGGAGAGGGGTGCATGATGGCACCTTGCAACCCACCCTGGTGCCAGGGGGATCAGAAAACCACACGCGTGGGCAAAGGTTCAGGCTGCTCGGAGGAGGAAGAAGCAGCAAAGTCTCCTGCTCACATCCAAGGCGGCGCAGAGAAAAAGCAGCCGTTTAGGGAACGCGGGGTTGTTTTTAAATTTCGGCTTTTATTTTCATCGACTTCAACAACAAAGTGTTTAAACACACGCAGGTCTCGGTGCAGGCAACACTGTCATTGCTACAAGCATTGGCGGATTCTCAGCTCGATTAAACCCATACGCTTTGGTGTATCAAAACAAAACACGAAAGTCACAGCTCTACAGGCGAGGGTAAAAGCTACAGCAGTTCAAACTCACGTGAAGATTCCAGTTATACAGAGGTGGGCTCCACAGTGGTAATACAGTAGAAAGAAGGTTTTTCACAGCATATATTTTAATTATTAGTGATGCAGCAGAAAAGCTCCATCTCGCTGACGAGTCGAAAAGCAGATACTGAAGTTCCTGCACCCAGGCTGGGCACAGCATTAACTGCATTAACCTTTATAGTCAGAAGCTTCCTAGTTCCTAAAATGACGGTATTTTTGCATCAATATCTGTACAATACTGAGGCAGCTCAGAGGAGTTATTACACAGTGGAGATGCAAAACCGCGGAGGTGAGAAGGGCACAACTGAATTCACCTCCAGGAATTTGCCAAGTCCCTGCAATAACGCTTTCCCCACACTAACGCTGCCCCGCTGGATTAATTCCTGTGTCAAGAGCGGATGACTCGCTGCTTTTACAGCATATAGGAAAAAATAAGGAAAAAAGAAAGTCGTAGTAAGTTCTCACTGAGCATGTTAAATACTTTGAAATCTAGGACGCTGCTCGTTGGAGTGTTACAAAATAAAATGATAAAACAGGCTTTCAGTACCTGCCCCTTCCCCCCCCGCAACTGCAAAGTAATGCAGGAATCTCTCAGTATGAAAAACACAAATGTCTTTGTCCAGTGTCGTGTCATTTGTTACAAGGCACAGTGTAAGCGTTCGGCACAAAAATAATAATTAAAAAAACAGAAAAACAAACAACGTTTTATTGTGGTTCTGTCAGACCCAGTAGCCCAAGAAGAAATAAAAATCGGCATGTTACGCTATAGGAAACAAAAAATTACATGTACAAAAAAATATCTATATACACACACTTTACAAGGGTAACCATCTTGCATTACCATTTCGAGCTATCCAAAATAGGCTCGCAGTTACCGAAAGGCAGCCTTCGAATGCAACACAGACCTGGCACAACAGACAGATGGAGGAGGATGCTAACCATATCGGACTTAAGTGAAATCTGTGGCACACGGCAGGGACCAGAAAACAGCCCATGCGTAGAGAAGAGATGATTTGGTTGTAGCAAGGTAGGATGAGTCATTTAAGCTGCTTTTTTTCCATCTTTCCCCAACCAAAAAAAGTCAGGGTTGCTGCTAAAAAGAGCAAGCTAACCTGAAAGCAGCTGTGCTGAGCCAAGCTCCTCGGTTTAGGTTTGGGTTGTCTATGTTCTCACTACCTTGGCCAACATAAAACCAAAATCTCTGCTCAGCTACTTGCCCCCAGGATCACCGGCAGTCAGAGGAAACGCCTCGGAGCACAGCTGCTGTAGAACCAACAAAGGAAAAAAACAGAGAAAAACCAATTTCTCACGTAAACATGACTTCTTGAAGCAGAAATACATCACCTTGTCCCAAGGCAGGTGGAAATTTCTCTCTTATTTCACTCTCCACTTCTAGTTGCTCATCACTGTCACCAGCAATAACCCACAGCAGGCTCCAGCCTATTACAGGTACACCTCAAAACGGTTCTACTTTACATGGCAGGAAACCGATCTAGCACAGTCTAAGTAAGAGATTGTCTGGGTTTAGGGTAGCTGAAGCCTTACAAATCAGCGTGCAGCTCTCAGTTCAACTGGAGGCTAGGCAGGCAGATCCTTATGCTAAACTAACCAGGCTGCATATGTGGCAAAGCCTAATTTTCTAGCTTAAATGTCAGTTTTTAGTACAAAACGGATGAAGGTTGGGTGGGGGGCAGAAGTCAGGAGCGATTGAGGGCTATACTTGCAGTTATATCCTGAAACAAGCAAACCAGGACATACACATGAATGTAAATTCAAAACAAGAAGAGGCAGAAGATTTGGGTTTTTTTCCCCAGAGAAAGTGAGGGAAAAAGGAGAAAGGGGGTTGCAGGTGGCTGTAAGTGCTGGCCTGCGCAGCAAAGTGCATGTGCTGTCTCCGCTGGAGAATATTACACATGAACAGAGCGCTCCGCTCTGTGGGAAGAGGCTGTTTAAGTGCAACGCTCAGCAGACCGATTCCCATTTGGTTGTTTTGGATGAACTGCCAGTTCAGGGTTTAGTGGCTTTAGGCTTTTTGCATTTGTTTTGGGGTTTGTTGGTTTTTTTCTTTTTTTTTTTCTTTTTAAAAATTAATGTTAACCTTCCTGCTTTTCAAAGCAGAATCGTTGGGTGAGAGAGAGAGAGAAGTTAAGTTTGCAGGTCAGGACACCCAACAAGGTGTACGAGGATTCATAAAGTCAGGAAAAAAGAAGCCCTCTCCCCAAAAAGGAAAACACAAAACGAGAACAACGCCTTCTCAAGAAGGTCAACAGCTTTTCAAGGAAACACCCCCCTGCCTTCCCCCTGCGCTCAGCTCTTCCCCTCACAAGAGCTGAAGTGGAGGCCGTGGTCCAGGAGCATCACCTGGACAGCATCAAGAGCTTAAGTAGCAAGAAGGCTCCCTCTGCCCTTCGTCCGGGGGTGCAGGACTAAGCAGAAGGAGGGCAAACAAAGGGCTGAGCAGTTTGTGGCTGAGGCGGGGTGGAGCGGGGCTCCGTGGGGTCTCACTCCCCTTCCTCCTTGATGCGTTGCTGTTTGTTGCGCCGGGCATCCATGTCGAAGTTGAAGTCGTTCCACTCGTCGCGGGGCGGGAAGGAAATGGTCTGGCGCAGCGTGAAGCGGACCGCGTCGATCACCCGCTCCCCCCGCGTCTCGCTGGAGCCCACGCTGACGGTGGAGGCGCCGCTGGGGGTGCGCAGGAGGTGGGGAGGGGAGGAGAAGTCGTGGAGCTGCCGGTGGTCCAGGATGCCCTTCCAGATGGCATGGCGGAACTGCTCCGGGATCTTGAGGCTCACCAGATCCTGCAAGGTGAGGAGGAGAAGGGCTTAACGGGGCAATCCCTGGGCAACTGGGGCATAGAAGCAGCCTTGGGGCCACTCTGCAAATACCTATTAACCCGTAAAGCTGCTAAAACTCGGGGGGTTACGATGCGCTGCAGAAGACAAACCACTAATCCTGAAGGTTTAAGGACTAATGGCACAAAGTCTGTTTTGCAGTTACACAGAATATATTCGTGCAGAAGACACGGTGACCTAAAGTGAGATATTTAACTGGACTGCAAGGCCTCCAAGACACCCTCGGGGGATCTCTTGGGTGTCTACAGTGGGGGATGCTGTGCTGCAGATGTTCAATGGCTTTGAAAGTGTCTGTGTTGATTTCAAAGCCTGCAAAAGGATTTCAGAATCAAAGCCTCAGCTCCAGTGTCTGAAGCTCTGACTCAACAGGAACTGCCTTAATTGCTTGAACACAACCAAAATTTAAGAACAGAAACCTAACCTTAGAAAACTCGGACTTTGAGGCCCCATCATCTCTGTGCAGGTACAGAACCTGAGGGCAGCCTCACCTAACTCTGGGAAATGCGATATCTGCTTCTGCAAAAACGAGCAACCAGCGTTGGTTAATTTGGGTCAGCTTTTCTAATTAGAGCAGCAGTGCAAGGAAGGCAGCAAAAGCACCACAGCTTCGCAAAGTTTTGGGGCAAAAAAAAAAAATAAAAATGGGAAGGCCAGCTCTGAGGAGAGCGATGGTGCAGGAGAGGAAGCAATAACCCTGCAGCAAAAGCCATGCAAGAGAAAAAACCAACCCCAAAACAGGGCTGAGATGGCAGTGGCAAGGGAAGAGGGTTAAAGTAAGGCCAGAAAACAGAAGCAGGGAGTGAAAAAACGCAGACAATATCTGGACAGCCTATTTGTCTGCAGGCAAGGGAGGTGTTTTGGAGAGCTGTAAACTGAACCCGAGCCTTGCGGAATTACCAGGCGTGTGGGCTGGGGCCACTTTGGGGGCTCAAATACAGTGGTGGGGAGGGGGAGACACACAAAGCCTCTCTTCACTTCTCAATAAGTCTACTCTGTGTGCAAGAGCCTTAAATGAAACTGGTCATTAAAAAAAAATCAAAATATACTTTGAGTCTAGATTTCTGACCTGTTCCTACAGCAGGGCCAAGGGTGAAAAGAATAGGAAATGGTGAGGAGTTACTTACATCCATGGAGTAATGCTCAATCTGATAGATGGTGGTCAGCCCCTGGGTCGTGAAATAATCCACACAGGATGAGCAGCCCAACCTCGCTAAGAAGCTGCAGAGGAGGAAGTAAGGAAGGAGAGAGAAAAAAGGATCACCCTGGCTGCAACAGCCCAAACCACAGAAAAACCAAACACTCAGCCAACCTGCAGCAACAGCAAACAAAGCTTTCACCCTCAGCTTGACCTCCTCCAAGACATCCCAGGCCTGCAAGCCACATCAAACAAGTGAGGGAGTCCTTCAGCGGCTCCTAGCAGACAACCCTCGTGGCAGCGCCTCGCCTTAGCCAAGAGCCTGGATCTTGGGGCAGGAAGGCTCAGGTGGACCCTCCTGCCAGGTCACTTCACTCAGAAGCTGGCCGAGCCCACAGCAGCAGGGGGTCAGCACGGTTTTGGTCTGGAGCTGAGACACATCATGCACACAAAGTACTTCAACTCAGCCAAGCGTAAAGGATTCCTCCTTTATGGGCAGCATTTTTCAACCTGTTTGACCTCATGGAGGGCAAAGGGGCTTCTGACCCCAGCCATGGCTTGCTGAGTGGCCAAAGGGGAAAAAAAAAAAGAAAAAAGAAATGCTTGCAAGACTGCCTGGCACCCTCAGCTCCACCAGTCCAACAGATGCTGCATCCCTCAGCTTTCTTGCAGTCCTAACGTCCCTATTTCTCTCAGGTGCTCAGAGGTGGGGTTTGAGGCTCAGTGCAAGCCCTGGGACTGCTCAGACCCACTGGGATCCAGCGCTCCAAGAGAACAGGGCACAGCAGGACCCTTTGGGGTGGGAAAGTCCCGCTCACCTGACGATGCTGCAGTCTGTGGGGTACGGAGGAGGCGGGGTGCAGTGGGACGTCGAAGGCATGGAGAGGGGAGGAGGCAGTGCCTGCGTGGGGCTGAGGCCGTTCATGTCGCCGGTCATGGCCATGTGGGTGCCCATCATGGGAACTGGAGGAGAGAAGGAAGAGCAGGACATGGTTACCCAGGTGGTGCCAGACCCCCGCTCTGCCCCTAGCCTGGCACCAAAGGATGGGACCCGTGGCCAAAGTGGCCTTCAAGCCCCTGCAAAGCCCCGCATGGAGCAAGGGCCCATCACCTTCCCGTACAAACCAGCTTGGTAGAAACTTCATGGACCTGCGGGTGTCTCAGCTCTCCCTGCTGCAGGAGAGGAGTGGGGCAGAGCCAGCAGAGAAACCCAATACAGAAGCCAAGCAGCTTTGTTTTCAGACACTGAGAGCACCCAAAGGGGATCTGCAACAGGTGTGGGCAAGAACCCAGGGCTTTTGAAATGAAAAACACCCAACACCACTCAGCCCCCAGAGCCATGTCTGTCATCCTGCTGGGCACTCTGAGGAAGCAGCTTACAGAGCTGTGCTATGCAGACACTTCCTTTTAAACCAGAGAAGTGTCTTAATTGAACCGAGGGGGGCAAGTCTGCCAATATTTGCTTCTCCTCTGCTGTGAAAGGCAGAAGAAACACATCTTGAAAGAGAGAGGATAGTGTAGCCAGCCAGAAGTGGCTCTGTTCACCCCTGTGAAGCTCAGAGCAGGATGTTGAGGCCTTGCCCCATGCAATATTTGGCTCTGCAAGTTCCCAGCAAATGACTCCAGACTAACACCAGCCACTTGGAGATGTCAAGTTGCCCTGCCCAGACTAGTGGGGAGCACACACAGAGCAGGAGGAGAAGGAGCAAGGGTTTCTTACTGTTGGCTCCCATGCCGTCAGGGATGGTGGTGGGGGTCAGGGCGTTGCGCTGCTGGGGGTTGATGAGCTGGCTGACCGAGGGCAGCTTGTTCATGCTGTTCATCTTGCTGAGCGGTGGAGAGTTGGAGCCATAGGACGACTGCGACTGCATAGAGGTCCTGCAAACCAAGGAGATGTTAGGGCAGGGATCGCAGTGGTGGGTTGTTAGGAGTGCACATCAAAGGGGCTGCGGTTTCTGGCTGTGACAGTGGTGAGCTGCTGCTCAGGACATCACTGACAGCACGGGAGCATCACAGATGTAGATCACTGGAGAGAGAGTCAACGGGAAGTCAGAAGTTTCCCAGATATTCTGGACAATTAAAAACAAATGGTAAAATACCAAGGGAAACTTCACTTTCAGTTCAAATTTTTTATTTAAGGAAAAGTTCCTGTGTAAGTTTTTCAGTTGAAAAGAACATACACAAAGCCAGCAAACAGCTGCTAAAACGTGGTCAAAGACTTTTTTTGTAAGAATACGAACTGAGAAAGCCATCTCAAACCATCCTAATCACCCCTAAAACCAGAAACAGAAACAATTTTCAAGTCAGGTCACACTTATTTTCTCAAAAATTCATAGTTAGTCACACAATCAGGCTGTTATCAGGCATATATATAATAGCTTGAGCACTCCATAACAGACTCCATATGCCTGAAAGACCACTACTGAGATGCTCAGAGCTGCCCAGGACCCCGACACGCAGCTTTTGCTGGTGTGAAGGACAACCTGGCATCCAAAGGCTGCTCGCAAAGAGGATCAGATTCCTACTGCCACTTGATAACAGCGCCAGCCTCCCTCAAGTCCAGACAGTCCCCAAAATCCATCCAGCATACCCACGAAGCAGGCCAGAGGGGCTGGCAAGCTCCCCCTGCCCAGGTCCCGGCTGCAGTCCCACCTCGTGAGCAATGCAGGGCACAGAGACCAGAGCGCTCTGAACGGCGCCCAGCTCCCAGCTCAAGTTACGGCTGCGGCATCCCATCTGGAGCGGGGTCTTAGGTGGGATATGCAGAAAATGATCCTTCAAGCAGGTCCGACAGCACAACTGGCAGCACCACCAGGCTGCAGAGGACCAGATTTGTGTCTCTCTGGCACCAGGGGCATTTGCAAGACCGGCCCAAGGCGCTGGGGAAGCGGGCATGCTTCCCAAATGTGACATACCCTTGCCAACGGAGTGGAGGGCACCAGGCTCAGCACTCCTGTGGTATCAGTGACCCCACGGTGAATGCACCAGGGCACATTCCCATCTTATTTCCCCTTGGGAAACTTGTCCGTCTGGGTACAACTGGTTACACCAACTCCTGGGAACTGGCTTTCCTTCTATGCAAAGAGAATAGTTATTACTTCAAATAGACCAAGTGTAAAGGAAAGAAAAGGCTTATTCTTAGATAATTTATTAAAACCTTCAGACTCAAGGTCGAATTTCATACAATTACTTAGTCTCCAGCTTCCTGCACTTTTAAGACTGGCAGTGTTGGGTGGAGAAAACATCTATGCTAACAGGCTGGAGTATTTAAGGCCCTGGAGAAATGTTACCTAATTACACAATTACAGGAGGTATGGGAGGGTGTGAACTGTCCTTTGGCAGTGAAGATGAAGGACAAGATCCAGCAAACTTCACAGACTCAAGGAAGTGGAAAGCACAAGAAGCTTCACAAATTAATACTAAACTACAGCAGCAGCTCCTAAGGGGAAGTGAAACTGAGCCATGGGGTTCAGACCCAACTTTTCAGGGTGAAGGGCATCATTCAGATCTGAGGTTTCAATTCCCCAATTACAACAGTTGAGGCCAGCCGTGAAATTCAAGTCAGGCTCATACCACCCTTAACCTAAGAGACTTCTGGATTTAGGACCAAAATGAATATTCCTACTTCACAGGTTCAGGCACTTATCCTAACTGAGATCCAGCTAAAATTAATACCCACCTGAGGAGTCTCTTGGGGCAAAAGCTGCATGAGATGCAAGTGAGGAAGTCACCACGTACACAGTGAAATTCCAAATCAAGTCAAAGACTTTCCAAAGAAGATTCACTTGCATTGTTTGAGCTCAGGACAGGTTTTCTTGAAAGAGCTAATGACAAGAAACTTGTTTTTTTGAAAGATTTTCCAAGGAGGTCCACAGTGGGCCTAACTTTGCCCTCTCCACCACCACCAGTGACCTTAGCAAAGCTGGTGAGGAGACTACAGAATACCTTAGGGATTAAAAATAAAGAGAAGGAAGCAAACACAAGCCAAGCCAAAGCACCCTACACTCCACAAAACAAATGCATACTGTAACATATAGCTTAAGGACTCCATTCTTATCTCAGTCACACTCATAAGAATCAAGGTCAAGGCAATCAAGCTCAAGTGAATAAAAGAGGAAGCAAAAGCATTTTCCTTCATACCCATACTTGTTTCAACTGAACTATTCCACCACGTGAACAGATGTGTATAAGGTCCAGAGAAGACCATCTAGCCAAAGAAAAGTCCCAAGATAAACCAAGATGCAAAATTTTATTGAAAATTAATGTCACGCATCAATATAGCAACAGCCTCAGAAACACAAGAAAATGGTTTTGGTATTAAACACACAGACTACATGGTGTTTGAGGATTCATTTAAAATAGATTCCTTTTCTCTCCCTTTTTTTTTTATAAACAGGTATTATAAGAATGTCATGCACAGTGATTTTCATTAAAATTATACTTACTATGTCTCAAGAAAGATTAGAAGTAGGAGCATTAACATTTCTTTGATATCAATGCCAACGAAATGCATTTTAATATCAAGGTTAAGGACTTCAATTAAGAGACTATTATACTTCTTGGAACAGTCTGTTACAAAAGGCACTGAGTCACATTCTGCAACTGATTTTTCTCTCCTCAAGAGGCTACGTAATTATTTAGCCAACGACATGCGTAGTTGTGCAAGCTCATATGAGGGTAATCGCTTCTCATACATCAAGAGCTGCCTTCTCCCACATAGGAGGCACAGCTCGGTTCACAGGTTACCTCGTACAGCTCTGCGGTATCCCAGCTCTCTGGATATCAGCCCTTCAGCAGAGGTAGGCAACGGCTCAGATAAACCAATTACCTGATTCAGCAGACAAGTCTTAGAGGCCTCATTCACATTAGATGAGCATCATGTAAGCAGCCTTAATGCAAGTGACAACAAAGGTTCATTAAATGCAAGAACAGGGCAGCTTAGGCTCAGTGAATTTAAGATTTCACCCCTGTGCTGACAGTTTGCTATCCCTGAAGACCTAGAGCTGGTCACAATGCAGAGAGATCCAAGGGAAGACAAATTTGTCCTGCTCTGGACCTGCCTCTCCTTACAGCAGCCACAGCAAGTGCAGCAAGGGCTATATCCCAAGTTCACATGTGGTCAACGTGCCCATTGGCAACCTTTTTTCAAGTCAGGTTGCCCACTGGGCTGCATGACACTGGGATGTCACTGATGTAGCCTAGTAATGGCACACAGGTGACACAGGTAATGCTCAGTTGCACTCATCCACTTGGAAGGCCCATGAAGCGGGACATCAGAAAGCAGAGAGGTGCCCTTGCTCTCCATGTCTATTCTAAAGCAAGCAGTAGTGCATCTTTTTCAACCACACAAGCAATTTGTAGGCTTGGTAACCAACTGGGAGCATGATGGTCACTGAGCAGACAGCAACTGCAGCACAGGGACAAGAGTTGTGACACTGACTCCCCTGTGGTTTCAAGTGTGGGAACTGCCCAGGGCAGGCAGTGGATGCAATCTGCTCTCCAGGGAATGGAGCCCTAATACAGGGAGTGGATACACATCAACTTAGTTGACATGGACTGATATGACCTGGCTGACAACGCCCAATTAGTCCACTTGGTTACTCCTGGAAAGGAAAAGGCTTACTTTTCTGAAGTGCCAGAGATGATGAAGCAGCAATTGAAAGACAGCTGAGAAAAACTTTTCTTCTTTTATCTGCAGAGGACAGGCTATGAAGCAACTCCAATTGCTTCCAGCACCAAGTTATTTGGTTAAAAAAAACAAAACACCTTCTAAAAATAACCACCTTGTGGCTGGATTTGCTACACCAAGTCCCCATTAAGACCAGTTTCACAACCATAATCCTTTTATAGGTAAGGAGGACAAATCAAAAGGTCTTTCCCAGAGGACAAAAGGATCCAAATAATTTACATTCCTGTCCAGTGGAAGTCCCAGGTGCTGAATTTCCCATCATGGTACAAGACATTTCCTAGAAGCCAGACCAGATGATGAACTGGAGCACAAGCTGGAATCTCCTGGTACGGACCATGGATGCCTTGGATCTTCTGGCAGGCTGCACCCCAAAATTTCCTGGTGGACAGGCCCTGGAGCAGAGCTTTAGATGCAGACTACTGTGTCCCTGTCACAGTATTTCTGCATTGCCATCCACAAGCAGATGAGACCAAGATCCAGGAAGAAACCTCCATTGGAAGGGCAGACTGACAGCGCCAAGCATGAGCCTGCACCTGGGCTGTACTTGCAGTTCAGATTCCCACCCTTCACGTACAAAGGAATAGCAATGCCTTTTTTCTCCCAAATAAAATGCCACAGAGCAAAAGTTACCTGCTCTGTGATCTTGAAGTACTTCCTGGAGTTTCCAGGCAAAGTAGAGAGGCACTTGATTTGGTGAGCTTTACACATGGAACAGTAGTAATGCTGTAACTGCATGAAACAGTCACTGCTCACGTTTAATTAGTTATTACTTCTATTTAATCACAATTTTGGGAGTTCTTCTCCGTCAGCCCTCCTCCACGCTCCTATGGTAGAACAAGTCTTGCTAAGACAAGGAAGGAGATATCCAGAGATGGGATACGGCTCTCAAAGGAGATGTTAGCACAAGTCACCGCCTGCTCAGATCACCGTGCTGCTGCTGCCTGGAAGCGGATGACGTGATGCTCAGAGATAAGAGTCTTCTCCCACTGCATCAGGTTTTTCCCCTTGGTGGGTGGCCAGAAGTCCCGCTCTACATTTGGGAGGCACCTTCTCTTCAGGCTGTGCCTAAGCACAAGTGTGTCAGAACTGGGGACACACCTGCCCCGGATAAACCCACCATGGACTGCACTGCAGGCACTGAGGCCCCCATCGGCACTGATCCAGCCACCACCAGGCTGTGTTTCCCAGA